TGACAATGTTCTCCCCAGTGCAGAGAAGAAGGGGATTGTGGGAGATCTGTCTGCCCGCCTGAACTGAGCGCGAGCAAGAAGGACTAAACCTGTATGTTTGCCCTTCGACAGAAGTAGTGCCAATGATTTATTGTCTTCAGATTTCTGTAGTCGTGTTCGTGCTTGTCGACAAATGCAGTGTGTACAGTGTTTCCTATTAGCGTGATGTATTAAAGATGCAGCTCTTTGTCAGACACCTCCAGCATACACACAGTATAGGGCGTACGTCTGTGCACTAGTATTTACCAGGTGTGGTCTGCATGTGGGCTACGCTCTACCTCGAGGCCATTCTGCACAGCTTATGTCTCAGTTTAAATGTGTTGCTGAAAGGAATATGTATTTTGACAGAAAAATATATTTGCCTTTCTCCAGAGACAGCCACAAATATCATCCACTGTTATGTTTTTTTTAATTATTATTATTGATTTTGCATAATTTTTATACAAGATGATTCATTAAAAAGAGAGCATGATTTTCTCATGGGCATTATCACATAATCAAACTGACTTAAAGCTTAAAGTACTATGTAGCACATTTACATGAGGCTGATATGAGCCTGAAAGCCTTCTCTTCTGTCTCTGTCTGACTACAGATCATATATTAAACTGGGGCTGTGCTGTTTAAGGTATAGACTATAAATGTCCCATCCTTTGAGCCATAGCAGCAGAGCTCTCCAGTTTCCTCTGTCTCTCCACCCTCTCTTCTCTGCCAGCAGTGACTTTTTTTTTCATTATATTCTCCAAATATCACAAGAAAGACATCCCACAACTGGCCAGGTCTTAGTGCCAAAGTTTATTTATTTGGTTTTGATTGCCTCACTTGACCCATCTGGAACACAACCACTCTGACGGTTTTTATTCACCTGATGTTCTACATGAAACAAAAATAATGAACCAACTTTTTCTTCATGAGAACATTTGAGACTTTGTCTCATCTTTAACAAAGCTCTTTCTTTCACCAACTGTTACCATGGTTAGGTTTTAACATATTTAGTAAGTATTATAGCACTTACTTACTAAATATAGTAATTTAACTAAGTAAAGTTTTGTTTTATAATTCTCACACAATCATATTGATTTGGTAACAAATTTTTAGAAGAAAAAAAAAAAACACTAGGATTATCAAATTGTAAATATACTGAATGCAAATAGCAAGTAAATAAATAAATAGTCAAAAAGCTTTGTCCTGCATCTGTGGATAAAATGGGTGAAGACTTTTTGGAGTGTACAAAAAGGCCAAAGAGTGTGAGTCGTGTCTCCTTTGGTACAGTGTCAGTGATGGACAGAGACTCAGAAGAGCTGTGGCTGTGATCTGTTGTTCTGTCTGTCTCACACTGGAACAGTTTACAGCTTTAACCGAGGCATCACTGAGGACATCTGGGGCCAAAAGGTTGACTTTGCCTCTTGAAGAAACATCTGCTTGAGCTTAGGTGCTTTTTACTTGTATAGTTCCTATACCTTTCACAAACTTTTATGGGCTTGTACATGCCACTATTTGATTCCCTTACCATCAATAATGGAATGTTAAAGAGAGGGAGCAACTAGATTGTATTTTCCAGACTGCAGATGTCTGACAGATTTTAGGCAAGGACAGTTTCTACCATTTTTAGAGATGCAACCAATGATTATTTAGGTACAATCAGCAGTTATTTTTACAGTTAGTGGCCATGTCAAATGTTATTTCTGTTGTGATTTAGAAGATTTAAAATACAAACTAGATAAATATGCTCAGTAGGTTCACAGTGTTTTTCATATCTCTAAATCTATTCTTTTGCCATTTTGATTTACTACCAGAGGTGTGTGGATACAAAAAAATTCAAAGACTGATGATGAATAATCTAGATAACATTTATCAATAATTACATGAATCAATTAGTCATGATTAATCTGACGAGTCATTGTGGCCCTACTTATTTCACATAGTTCACTTCACAAATTACTCGCATGTATCTCGAGAAGAGGATGCAGGAGAGAATTTGCTGTAGGAGGATTTGAAGACGCCACCATAATCACCGGTCTAGAGACTAATGCCTGTAATTAAACCTGATTTTTTTACTTTGTCAGCATTTGTATGATGAATATGCCAACCTTTATAGACCCTTTTTTATCTTATAATTGAAGTTCTTGTTTGATCATTGGTATATGAGCACTACACTAAATATTTAACTTAAATTTGTGGTCCTCGAGTGCAGGTACAGTTGAGAATGCTGTGAGTTGACATTTTAGAATACAAAGTTTTAGCAGACCAATAGGTAGAAATGCTTTATAATGAAAAATTTGCTTCAGTTTTTTTTTTTTTTTTTTTTTAATGTAGTAATAATAAGCATAACATATGACTTATCCCAGCCCTATAGTTAAAACCTGCGTGTTGAGAAGGCAACGCAAACAGGTTTCATTTCAGAATCTTGGTAGAAATGAAAATAAAAAAGCTATTTCTGTCTTATTATTAACTGTGTCTCCCAGGGCCAATATCTGTAGGCTAAAGTAATTTGAACTTCCCTTGTGCCTCTGTCAGGTGTAATCGAATGGTATAGATGTCAAGAAAGAGCTTCAAGTGCTCGCAAAGCACGTAAGGGAGAGTGAAAGAGAAGGAAGGATGAGGAGAGGGGGAGTGACAGAGAAGAGGGAGAGAGAGAGAGAGAGAGAGAGGGAAGAGTGAGATTAGAGAGAAAGAAAAAAGAGAGAGCGTGAGAGAAGAGGGGTAGATGGGTGACAGGGAGACCAAGAGGAGAGAGTGGAGAGAGGGGTGAGAAAGACAAGAGGGAGAGAGAAAGAAAGAAGAGGAGGGGGTAGCGAGAGAGAGACTGAAGAGGAGGAGACAGTTAAGATGGAGAGAGAGCAAGGAAAGAGTGACATTAGAGAGAGAGGGGAAATCAAGAGATAAAGGGAGAGAATGAGGGGTGAGAAAGGCAAGAAAGAAGAGAGTCAAGGGGTGTACAGAGAGAGAGAAGTTGGGAGAGAGAGATAATGAAGAATGGGAGAGAAAGAGTGAAGGAAGGGGGAGAGATTAAAGAGAGTGTTAAGAGGGAGAGAGTGAATGAAGAATGGGAGTGAAAGAGAGAGGAGATTAAAGGGGGGGAGTGAGATTAGAGAGAAAAAAGATAAAGTGAGAGAGGAGAGAAGAGAGGGGTGACAGAGACAGAGAGGACAGAGAGAGAATGAAGAGAAGGAGAGTGAGTAAAGGGGGAGAGCTTCCAGGGCACACAGAACAGGTAAGGGAAAAGAGTGAGAGAGAGAAGAGAGGGAAGAGTGAGATTAGAGAGAAACAAGAAAGAGAATTGAAGGAGGAAAGCGAGACAGGAGAGAGAAAAGGGTGACACGGACAAGACAGAGGGTGAAAGAAGGGGGGAGATAGAAGAGAGAGAGTGAAGGGGGGAGAGAGAGGAGGAGGGGGATAATGAAGGGGGTGAGAGTGAGTAAGGGGAGGTTAAAAGGGTGGAGAGAGAAAGAGGGAGAGAGCGAAGAGGAGGGAGGGAAATAGAGGGTGAAGAGGGGGAGAGAGAGGAAGGGGGAAAGATAAGAGGGAGAGAGAGAGGGGAGGGGTTAATGCTGAGCGCACATACTTATAGGTTGAAGCAAACACCAAACTAGAGGGAAGTCTCATAATGTTCCCATATCGAATCTAAGAGGACACAACCACAGGACTGGACACTATAGGTACATCTTCTGGAAATTACTAATTAGCAGATATAAGTATTAAATTACTTTTGAAATGTTGTTTATGTTCTATATCAGTGATTCGTAACATGGAGTGAAAGGTAGGTTTGAATGAGATATTTATCATGTTTGCATTTCATAATGTTTTGTCGAACAAATAATTCAGTATAGATAAAAATACTGACTCTGCAGCCATATTTACTGCATTAAATACAAATCAGAACATAGTTGGAAGATTCCTGTTCGTAGCACTTGTGAGTGAAGCTGAACTACTCAATACATTTAATGCTGTGGATTTGTGCATTTATGGATGAATCTTTTACTAGCACGTAAAGGCTGTGTGCTGCTGCTAGGTAACTGCTACAAACATGCAGGCCATGGGTTTAAACCTTTCAGTCCAGGACCCCCAAAATAACTATGAAACCAACTTAAGACTCCCACTGCAAAATGATGTTGATGGTGTAATTATTGCAAGTAGCTTGTTAAATCAGGTTTAATATTGCTTCTTAGATTTGTTGTGCTATTTGATCTGCAGTTTTCAGTCCAAAATCACTTACTGTATAATAATGAAGAAATAAAATACTTTGAAATCATCCCATGACCCCCAGCTCAGAGCTTCGTAACCCCTGTAGGGTCCGACCTCTGATTTGAGAACCACTGTAGACCAGCCTTATTAGGACAAGGACATATAGTCTGAGGTCATTTGAGATTATCTGTGTATGTCTGTGTATGACTGCATAGTACATCTTTAGATTTAGATTCTAAATTGAAAAATGACATAAATTAAATTGTTATCAAAGGTTTGAGTCAGTCCTAATCACTATTCAATAGACACCACACAAATCCCTGTGCAAGAATACTTTTATACTGAATGGCATTTAAATGATGGGATTAAAAACTGCATTGTTTCACCATTCTTAATGCATTTGCTATCACTAAACGGAGAAGGAAAATCACACATGCCGCACTACAAAAGCTGTGTTTTCTATTTTTCCCACTAATTCTGTGCAGTTTGAAGCCTAAATGGTGTGATTAGGTAGGTCTACTACATGTATTTCTTCAATTTTATGAAATTAACATTTTTCTGAATACTGCACCACCAACTGAAAAAGTAACTGTATGAGAATATATATAATATAGGTCTATTCAAAATTAGTATCCAGAATGCATCTTCTCTGTACATGTATTCAGTTCTTTCCCAACAATGACTATAGTAGCAGCTTGGAGGATTCATTTTAGTGGATTTGGAAAGATGATGGATGACTCTCTGACATGTGTAAACCATTGTTTTTTAGGCATGCCATGATGCCCACCCCAAACTGCTCCCTTGAGACCCTCTCCAGTGTTGACTCCAGTGCGTCCAGTGGCTGCCCTGACTCCTTTCTGCTCTGTGGGATGAACATCTCTCTTTTGGCTAATGCTAGCTCTGCGGACCTGGATGAGCTATGTTTGAGTGAAGACGAGTACCTAGCTCTTCACTTGGGACCCCTCCGGTCGCCCATCTTTGTCCCCGTCTGCATCACCTACCTGAGCATCTTCCTTGTGGGGGTCCTGGGTAACTCTCTGACCTGTGCTGTGATTCTGCGCTATAAAGCCATGCAGACGCCCACAAACTTGTACCTGCTAAGCCTGGCCCTATCAGACCTACTCGTACTCCTCATGGGCATGCCTCTGGAGCTGTGGGAGATGTGGAGGAGTTATCCATTCCCGTTAGGAGAGGGCGGCTGCTACTTCAAGACTTTTCTATTTGAGACAGTTTGTTTTGCATCTGTGCTTAACGTCACTGCTTTAAGTGTGGAGAGGTATGTAGCAGTCGTACATCCATTAAAGGTGAAGAGCCTCTCCACCCGTGCCCATGTCAAAAGGGTGATCGTGATGCTTTGGGTGATGTCCATGATCTGTGCCATACCCAATACAAGTTTACACGGGATCCTCCTTCTACCACCTAAGTTTGGACGCCACTTTCCACGCTCGGCTATGTGCTGTGAGTCAATGTTTATACTTTTATTTTATGTCCACTGGGAAGTTCTAAAGGTCCTACATTAAACTAAATTGATTCCTTTGGGCTTTTAGCCATGTTATAATTTTGTTACATCAAAAATATACCCAGAGTTGTGTTTTATTTAATCCACTTGTGTTTGAATAATCCTTTTTATTAGTTTTATTTTAGTGAAGGTGTATGGACATTAAAAGCATATTGGAGCACTTCCTGAGCACATGATATGATGATGGTGGAATGTTTTCAGTTTGTGAGAAGAACAGCCTAAATATAGAGGGTTTGTGTATTAAACATGCATGAATGAACCAAAACACAACTCCAGGTATGTTAGTGATGAGGAAACTACATTAATTAACAATATTATAACATAGATCAAAAATAGTATAATATGAACCCTTTAATTAAAATAATAATAATAATTTGCACCATCAATCAAACTTTCATTCATTACATTCATATATAAACAAGAAGGGAGAAGTGTATTGCCCAGTGACACAATGATTGGGCAATGAATCATATTCAAGATTGAGATTCAGTCATCCCTAATGATTAATGGTATGCTTGGGTTTACTTGGGTTAATACTCTGTCTGTAAAAGCATGTCTTTTGGGGTGTAGTTCAGACTTTTATTATTTTTGTTTAAATGGCAATGATTCAAGCTCTGTATTCTATGTTCAGGAAATTTCTATTGAAAACCATTTTATTATTAAGATAAATTTAAATGAAAATCATGATCAATCAACATCATGAAAAAGACAGAATGGTTGGGCATAGATTAGACCATTGCCTATCTGGTAATACATGGGTTTCAGAGTGATGAAAAATAAGCAGCATTGCCATATAAATTAACAATTCAAAACAAAATCAAACTGAAACCCATAGACATCTCTAATAGTGCCAAATCCAAGCCCTGGCGTTTCCTTCTTTCTTTAATGTATTTGCCTTTATTAGATCTTTTGAAGCCCACCTGGATGTACAAACTGACCATCCTCATCTCAGCTCTGGCGTTCTTCGTGCTCCCAGTGCTGGTCATGGGAGCGCTGTACCTCCTGATTGGCCTCACGCTTTACAGGGAGAGGGGCATGAGGGACCCCTCCGCCATGCTTGGAGTGGACAGTGTGTCAGAATCTCACATGCAGAGGCTGGGCAGACGCAATCTGCAAGTGACAAAAATGCTCTGTAAGAACCGTCTTTGTTTCTATAGAGATGCTTACCTGTTAATGAATGACATTTATGATGTCATTTATTTATTATTTAAAGTTCAATTTTTATTTTTGTATGAGTCAGTGTTTGCTGATGATGTTGAAGTCATAGATGGGACTGTTTTATAAGTAACTGTTTTATAATAGCTATTGTGCTCTCTCAACTGAAAAAGGCAAATACCAAGTAAAGTTCTGGCTATTTTAAGAAACATAGATAAAGTATAATTTAGATAGTCGACATGAAGCTCGGAGAAGTTCAAAATTGCTAGTTCATAGTGTTACTGCTCCTGACTGGTTGCTCCAGCAGCAATGAAGGATGGAACAGAGGCAGAGGACAATACATTGTACCATAACCACTGCTGAAAATAATAATGCATCAGATTTATAAAGTGGCACCAAAAGCACACAACAGCTACGTTCCACTATAGCCATTGCTGTCCTGCTGTGGCACCTGTTATTCCCAGAGGTCTCCCATCTAAGTAGTTACCAAGCTTAACCCTGCTCAGCCTTCTGAGAGTGGTGTGGCTCCAGATTTGGTCACTGTACTGTTAAAATTGCAAGATAGGACCAGTGTCTAACCAGAAGTCTATTCTTTTAGTAATTTTTGTATATTTTTAAACTATTCATCTTGCCCGTTGTTGATGCTCTATTTAGAATTGGCGCAGTGCTCTGACCTGTCTCCCCCTGCAGGTGTCCTCGTGGTGGTCTTCAGTCTGTGCTGGGCCCCCTTTCATGTGGACCGCCTCATGTGGAGCTTTCTCGACACTTCGTCCGAACTGCACCTCATGATCTTTGAACCGGTGCACATAGTCTCCGGCGTCTTCTTCTACCTGAGCTCTGCGGTCAACCCCGTCCTCTACAGCCTCATGTCCACGCGCTTCAGGGAGATGTTTAGCCATCTGACCTGTCCACATTCCAGTTGGATCAACCGCTCCAGTCTGCGCCTCACCCAGCGCAGCACACTGAGCCACAAGGCACCAAGTGAGACCAAGGGACTGTCATAGTGAATATAAAGACAGATACATATTCAAATGTGTCAGTTAAATGAGGTCGCACTTTGTGACTTTTCCAGAAGAGAGTCCTGTTTGTTTCCATTGAGGTGTCCCGCAGTATGGCATTAAACTTCACCAGGTCAAGTGACAGATCAGATCTATGAACAGGGAACAAAAACACATGCATGCTAGGTAAATTTGATGCCATACAGTGGAACATTCCAAGCAAAGAAATATCTCCATAGCGACCCTCCAACACAAAACCTACATAGCGCACATTTAAGTATTTAAGACAGGGGTGTCAAACTCATTTTGGTTCGGGGGCCGTATCCAACCTACTTTGATCCCAAAGGGGCCGGATCAGAAAACTCATGTCATATATACCCCAAAAATAACAATAAATTCAAATATTTGTGCAGAGAAACACAAATCTATTACAGAAATCTTTTTTAATTGATGAACTCTTTCTTTTACAAAACATTATAATATTATGAACAACCTGAAACTTTAGGAAAAATGCAATTTCAACACAATGTTTAAACATTAACTTGTATGCAAATAGGAATAAGTCAGTTTTTCTTGGAAAATCCTGCACTTGGCTCCACTTTTCTCATTTTTGACATTTTGCTGATGAGGTAAAAACAATCCGCCACTATGCTAAGCACCGCAGAAAATTACCAATATTTTAATAGAAACTATAATTAAAATATTTTAGTAGAAAATCAGCAGAGGGCCAGATTAAAGGTCTTGGAGGGCCGCATCCGGCCCCCGGGCCTTATGTTTGACACCTGTGATTTAAGACCTTTCTGACTCAACCCTCTGTTATTTATATTTGGTATTGATTTAATAAATACACTGTAAACCAAAGACTGGAAAAATGTATTTGGAAGTCAAAAAAAATATGAATAGAGAATTTACCCCTGAACTAAAATATACTCAACAATAATATATTTAAAGGGGCTATATTACGTTATTTTGTGATCCATGTTGGTTCCTCATGACAGACGTACTGGTTGTTGCTTTTTGTTTCATTCAAATATGTTTAACTCACAAACCTTGCATCCTTCACATACTGAAAACTCCCTTTTCCACCTTGTGATGTCATGTGGTAATATAGGAAGTGCTCTATTGTGTTTTAAGATCCATACACGTTCTCTAGAATCATTTGGATAATTTTGGTCCTGGAATTACCCATCTCTGTTGAACTAAAGGTTACAGATAGTTGTTGATGACATCACAAAGTGAACCAGAGCATTTTGAATTTTGGCGATGTAGACAGAATAATAAAGAATCATTCATGTGTCAGTGAAACAAAACACAACTCTTGGTATGTTTTTGAGGAGGTAACAGCATTATAACATGGCTTAAAATTCACGAGTAAATTTTTTTGTAATATGGGCCCTTTAAATCCCCATTCCCATATGCGGAGCTAATTGCAAGTCTTTGTTACATTTTTGATTTGATAAAAGAACCACAGCACATTTCCGTCTTGATTAATACATTGTGATACAGCCCTTTGCTGATTCTGTTCATTTCCTTTGTATCAGGGGTCAGCAAAGTGCATCAGTAGCCTCCATTTCACCACGCACACACAGTTAGCACTCATACAGTAGTTTCACTGTTTTGAATGCATCAGTGAAAAGGTAGAAGACCAGCTGTTTATGTTATACTTTCATCATGTATGGCATTTCCACTCCCTGTTCTGTAAACATGCACATATTCTGGGAGATGTGTTTCTTTGTTTCTTTGTAGTTCTTATTAGCCTATGTTTGTAAAACTTACACTTAAACAAATTTTATTGATCCACACAGGGAATTATGTGGACACAGTAGCTCATGCATCACAATATATTATAAAACCAAAGAGCAAAAATATAAAGGTTCAAAATAAATTCAAAATAAGTGGCAAAAATAACAAGAGACTAGTGTAAATAAGGCATAATTATTTAAATGTATATGTACAAGAAACAACACAGAAATTAATTAATAATATCTGTTACATAAGGGTGAGCTGTACAGTTATAGGGAGTATGATATGAATGTAGTCCTGTATCTCTCTGTTTGAGCGGAGCTATCGGAGCCTGTTGGAGAATGACCTCTGTCTGGTGCATTGGGTAAGCAGGAGTGTCCATGATGTAGAGCAGTTGAATTGCCTTGTTTTAGGTGGTATTATCATATGAATAGGCTATATGTATCAATGCAAACCTCTCAAGATGTTAATGTTTACTTTAAAGCCATGTGGTGATTTTTTTATTGTGCACATTGTAGTAGAGATATAATGGTTATAATGTGTTTTTTCATTAGCAGTTGTTAGTGTCAGCCATTTGAAGTGTAACTTATTTTTCCAAATGTGTTTTGTAAAATAAAGATCAGGGATACGGCTCCTTCAGACATGTTTCATTCTGTGCATTTGGATGTTAAGAAAACTTAGACCTCTTATTACCATGGAAACAAACTCACTATGCCATTAAACAACAACTAACCTATAAATGCACTAATAGTATTTATTTGAATAAATAATACAAAGGATTTTTAAAAAGAATTATACATCGCTTCCTTCTTGAAGTTAAATTATTTTTTGATAAGATGCTGGTCTCAAGCAAGCCTCTGAATTTGTCCTTTTTGATATTGTCATCTCTAGGAGAGATGAGGGTGGATCATAACTATCCCTAACACTACAAGATGCATGCTATAGCCTTCTCTTAAGTCCAAACAAGAGCTGTGCAGCAAAGTCAAGGAGCAAACCACCTCCTCAGCAGCCACATTACAGCAGAAGCAATCACTGCAGAAGAACTCGCTGTTAACAGGCTCCTGATGGCTACAGTTTACAAGAGCTCAACACAAGAATGTCTAATGCATTTATGTTCTTTTAATGTTGTGTGAGAACATTACTGTTTACCTCAAGATGACAAAGGCTGCAGCCTAGTTACCTAGATATATATGCAGCTAAAAATGTTTTTATTTCTATTCATTATGTTTCGAACACCCAGTATTATCATAATTATGCTTAGTGTGTCCTTTATCTTTTGCCAAATCTCTACAGTCATGTGCACAAAATCCCCATAAAAACAAATACAAAAAAGTGTCATAAAATTATCAACAGCACACCTCATATGTTCCATTTTACATGGATGTGATAGAAATATAGCTCTAAGTACTGAAGGTATGGATGTAATTGAATTAATGTATGAATATTTAAACCAAGGACTAATATAATGCAATGGTAAAAAAAAAAATCTTCAGTCTGTTCTTTAACACAGGTTGAAAAGGGTACTCTACAATTATTTTGCCTTAAACAGGTTTTTGTTTTCTTGAAATAATTTGCTGTACCCTCATTATAACTATGCTCCTACATAAAACGCATAATCAAAAACAAACCCATAGAGGCAACAACTCTGAAAAAGAAGCTGTTTAATCTCAAGGCACAAAACAAATGAATGAAGAAACATTCAGACATACTCTGGTTGTAAGAAAAATGTGAATTCCAATTATTATATTAATAAGATTAACTCACGCTTGTGTCAAGAGGTTCATGGGTCCTCATCAAAACTGCCAGGAACATTTGTGTAACAGAGTGAAGTGTGCTTTTGTGCTGAGGGTGCACTTAATTAAGACGTACATACATGTTGTTGTTGTTTTGTTTTTTTTTTGCATTATTTGCTTTGGTCCTTAATTAATACACATCGTGTCATGTTACAAAAGCATGTGTAATATATAGTCCCTTAGAAACAATCTATATTTAGAAGAATAAATGGGATATAAAAACAAAGTCTTTAGAAGCAAATACATAAACAAATATATATAAAATAAAATAAAGCATACAACTATTTTGTAAACAATAGCCAAAAAATTCAGTTACTGCATGCAAATGCTTTTACAGTGGAGCTGCATAATCACAAATGTAATGTTATCCCAATATAAAAAAAAAATTCACCCCCCCACCATGAAAAATGGTTGAGATTTACCTTTGGTTGTGATCATAGACTGTATATACAGTATTTTCTTTATACAGTCTATGGTTGTAGTCCTGCTTTTAGATGTTAATTAGCCACAAAACTACAACTTACATTTTTAAGTCTTCCTGCCATGATTTGAAAGTCATAGAATGTTTAAAAATATTTTGCACCTTTCATTTACAGTACAATTTTTCAAGCCCACTGGGTGAGTATATTTCTTAATAAAACCATAAAAACAAGGCAGTGTAACAAATGCTTTGAACACAGCAAGTAGCATCACACAAGAAAAGAAAAGATGCAGAACAGTGTGTTGAGAGGCTAAGAGGCACTCCCATCTTCAGTGAAATCCCTTCATTCTTACAGGTCTTTAGGGCGGTACTTTTTTTCAAAGCGGGCCACATCAAACTTCCGCTGGCAACCTTTGTAGTTCATGTAACGAATCTTCCCAAAAATAGGTCTCTCGGCCCAGCCCTGATCATGAATGCCACAAATAGACCACATACAACCTGCAGCAGTGGGACAATATAGTTAGAAATCACAACATTATATAATTTCAAGTAATAAATAGTTGTATTAACGGTTGTTTTTTTTTAGGTTCTTACCAACAAATCCATTAGGGTCTTGGCCGTCTAGAGAATAGCGGTCGTTCAGGTACAGGGCAATAGACAGTGCCTCCTCTGGTGAACTCGTCCACTCCAAGATCTTTTTGGCCCAGTACATGCGCAGGAAGCCATGCATCTTTCCCTCAGAGATCATTTGGAACTACAGAGACACAAAACAAAAATGAGTAGTGATTGTATGGTGTTTTATCACAAAGTCTAGTTATCACATTATTTCTGCATTACAGGTCTAGGAAATCCTCTAGATAAAAGTGTGAAAAAGTGTAAAAATAGAAGTTGATTTGGTTTGATCCTTTTTTAAACAATATATGGTTTATGATATTTTGTGTATTTCAATAAAAAAATAAGTAGAAAAGATAAATGTAATAATAACTTGTTAATAACTGTGTTTGAATAAGTTACTATAGAGACAGTACCTGAGCTCCGTTCCAAAGGTCATCATGTGTTTTCGCCTTCTCCAGTTGATCTTGTGTGTACACATAGGGTCTCTTGTCTTTGGCATGATCTTTAAGTGTCTTCTGAGCCCAGTCATATGCTCCTGAATACCATGGATGCAAACAAACAGCATTAGGTTAAGTATTAAAAGCCCTCAAAAAGACAGCCTATAAAACTTAAATGCAAGAGGCCTGGAGTCACTCAAGAATCTAGAGCTAAAATGGTCTTTTCATTGAGAAATAAAATCCAAAACAGCTTCAAAGTTTTTTTTTTTAGCAAAGTTTTATTGCTTTGCCTAGAATGTTCCACAGTATGGCACTTAATTCATTGACCTTGCATATTACAAAAAAATAAAAAACATGCAAGCCGGTTCATCTGTTCACAGATATGACCTGTAATTTAGCTCCATGGATATTGATACGATTAATGGCATATGGTGAAATATTCCAGGCAAAGCAAAAACATCAACTTCGAAACAAGCAGATAATAGACCTCACACCATAGATGTTACATAGAGCACCTTTAAATGTGACAGAAAATGCTGAAAAGAATTTGTCCTTTTAGATCAGGGGTGTCAAACTCATTTTGGTCCGGGGGCCGTATCCAACCGACTTTGATCCAAAGGGGCCGGATCAGAAAACTCATGTCATATAAACCCCAAAAATAACAATAAGTTCAAATATTTGTGCAGAGAAATGCAAATCTGTTACAGAAATCTTTTTAATTGATGAACTCTTTCTTATTATAATATTATAATATTATGAACAACCTGAAACTTTAAGAAAAATTCAATTTAAACACAAAGTTTTAACATTAACTTGTATGCAAACAGGAATAAGTCAATTTTTCTTGGAAAATCCTGCACTCAACGTCCACTTTTCTCATTTTTGACATTTTGCTGATGAGGGTGTCACGGTCGACAGTCAAAACGATCGTCCTTTAAGAGTGTTTGGAAAGAGACAAGTCTTCATTTGTGCTGCTCTGGTGGGAGGGGCCACGTACAGAGGCGCTGGAGATGCTGATATGCTAAGCACCGCAGAAAATTACCAATATTTTAATAGAAAATATAATTAAAATATTTTAGTAGAAAATCACCCAAGGGCCACATTAAAGGTCTTGGCGGGCCGGATCTGGCCCCCGGGCCTTATGTTTGACACCTGTGTTTTAGATGGTATGGTAATAAACTCTGTAGGTTCTTCTGCCCATATGCTATAAAAGTTTTGTTTTATTAGCTCATGTTTATCTTACCCTTAATGCTGTCGTATTTCTTATTGTAGTAGCAGAAGTTGTCCGTGAGTTCTCTGCGGACCACCAGCTCCTCAATAAATGGAGCAGAAGACTCTCCGCCTTTCTTCTTGACCTGCAGTGCCA